GACCTCCTGACATTGACGATTTGGGCGACATCGAAGCGGAATTAGCAAAAATGCACGCGGACCACATCAATGGCGACGATACGGTGAGGAGGCCGTCCGACGAGCTGTCACAGACCAAAGACGTGAAGAGGGAACCCACGCCGATCCTCAGGGATGACGAGAAGCAAAGCCAGAACAATGAGAGGGTCGAAAGCAAGGACGAGAAAATGGAATTGAAGGTGGACGATATGAAACTCGAATGCAGTGTTGCTCAAAATAACGAAACTTGCAGTAAAGATGAGTGTATATCGACCAAAAAGGAGAAAGGTCTGGAGGACTTTGACCACCTACCGAGCAGAATGTCACCGCCCCTTTATACGTATTCCAATCAGGAGAAAGTCTGTCCGAACGAATCGAAAGATGACAAAACATTGTCAGAGAATGGTGAAACATGTACGGATTCGAAAGAGAAAGATTCTAAATTAGAAAGGCTACCTCTCAAAGCTGATTTTCCGGATAAGAGTTTACTAGAGCAGTTGCTAATAGAAATTCCTACTCCAGATTACGTCAACAAGAGACCGGAATCCCCATCACCTTCGGCGTTGGAACGAGTAGCGCGAAGTACGGTCCGGACGAGGTCGAGCAGCAAGATGAACAGTCCTGCCGATGGCCCGAAGACGCCGAGATTGAGTCCCGGTCTCAACAAGCTGGACAGATCGGATTCACCCGCGTTACAGCCTAGGAATTGTCTTCGTAGTGGATCAGTAGATAAAGTGAGTCCGCGTACTGTTAACTCAGTGCCCGCGCCTGCGAAACCACCACCCGGCGTGAAAAGAAAGAGAAGAGAATCTGAGAGCTCGTGCGCCTCCACCATAAGCTGCGAAGAGGGCTTGTCTCCGGCGGGAAGGCCGAAGAAGAAGCCGAGAAGACTCGATCAGAAGCCTATCAACGCAGCAGTCGCCGCGTGTGGCAAACTGAAGAAGGAATCGGACAGTGATAGTGATGAACCTTTAATATGTAAAGTGAGGGGGAAAACGGGAAAAGGTCTGAAGCCGGTGGGGGTGAAGGTGGTGAAGACTGCTGAGGGTGTAGGCACGAGGCGCTCGGTGCGCCACGGCCCCGCGCCCCC